CCCCCTTCATAAGCCTAATAGTAATCCCCTATATACTCCCCTATATAACTCCCTTTAAGCAGTTTCAACCATTTCTCACATACCCCGATTTAAAGGGTAAAAGGAGGCTCCTGGTGGTAGCCTGCCTACAAAGACCGCAGGCAGAGCTCATAAGCCGCAAGACCTGAGTCCACGGAGCTCCCGAGCCAGCTCACTTGACTCTGTCCAAGCATTCCCACATCATGATGCTGTTTCCTGAGGCAGGAACGAAAGGATGGGAGCTAGCCATTGGGGTAATATTTGGGTTATATTGGGATAATGGAAAAGAAAATGGAAACTACTATAATGGGTTATATAGGAGTTATATGGGGTTAATATTGGGGTTATATTGGGATAATGGAAAAGAAAATGGAAACAACTATTCAGGGTTTAGGGTTTAGGGTCCACATCATAATGCTGTTTCCGGAGCCAGGAACGCAAGGATGGTAGCTAGCTGTGCATGTGGCATCGAATCTATATGCTCACATCTGGCTCTGATACCAAAGGTGGATGCCCAGAAGACAAACTCGTTGCATGTCAGCTACTAGGGATCCCTGCTACGTGCATCAAGAAATTGAGTCAGGGCAGAAGTTACGAAATATCTAAAAACTGTTCCATTCAAAGGCTCCGCGGATGACCACCATGCCAATCTCATTCTTCTCGGTAGGGGACACAATCTCCACTGTGTTGTCCAAGACGATGTTCATGAATTGGTCATACCCTGCGTGGCAGTCAGCAAAACACTCTCGTCACATGAGCTGTAACTGTAGTCTAAACTCCTGGTATCCGCGTTAATAAGCCCTATAGTAGTCCCCTATATACTCCCCTATGTAACCCCCTTTAAGGAGTCTAGACCATTTCTCACATGACAGGCAAAAAAAGCTGCAGCATGTTGTCACAAGCCTGTACCCATGCTGGCAGTCTAGAAACACCCAGGCCCCTTAAAGGATCCAAAAAATGGAACCCCCTAGTAGCCAATGTAGTAATTGGTTCATATGGGGGGGGGTCCATTTGTTGGATCCTTTAGGGGGTCTGGGCAGATTTGCAATCCCATAACCAGGACAGTTCTACCCTCCACCAAAGGAACATGGAACCCCTAAACCCTAAAGCCTTAAACCCTAAACCCTAAACCCTAAAGCATACTGGCATGCAATCCGCCAGCCTCGCAGCACACCAACCACATGTCTGTTGGCAGTCAGCTTGAGATCCTTTGCAACTCAGCCAAATCAGACTCACTAGAAGACTGCGTATGGCGTATGAGGTTAGTTGCAGTGCTGCTGCCTTGATGAATTTCTCGCTTGCCATGTTTCAAGCCGTGCTGGAACATAACACTTGCGGAATGACAGCCCAAAAGAAGGCGGCGATTTCTCTTCTTTTGCAGCAATCGCACTCGCACTGCTTCCTCCCTGGCTGAGTGCTGGGCCAGTCTCTTCTCCATAAACTTTCGCAGATCAGCTCCCGAACCAGTCTGCAAAGAGTGCTTTTGAGTTCCTACTTAATCTCCTATTGCCAGCGTGTGCAAGCGCCCATGCACAGGCTGGGAAATGCTTGATGGCTTTCCTGTTTGCTCTCGAACGGTGGACGTGGCTTCCAGCCGGCAACATTTTTTGTTAAAGGGCAAGCCGAGGGTGGCAGGCCATGATGGCTACGCGGATACGGTGGGGGCTTCTGGACGAAGTCAGCATCATCAGCACGGCTCAAACGAAACAGGGGAACGAAGTGCAGCCTTCGATGAACTTTGGCGAACGCTGAATGCCTGGACGAACCTCAGATGTAGGGCCCCCAGCAGTTACGAGTCTGCTGAAGCCAGCCTCAGCTACAGAGGCCAATCTGTCACGAAGGTTCAAAAGTGGACGAAGTTTTGGGTCATTCCAAACCAAAGCTGTCCGTTTGGGGAGTGGGTCTCCGTTTGTGCAAACCATATGCCCTTTGCACCGCCGCGTTTGATATTGTCAGAGCTGTGACGGAGCACCAGGCCGACAGGAGGATGCGTGCGCTCTTGTTCTGGCAGAGTATCGCAGCTTAGCAAGCTTAGCAGGACAAGCTTCACCGGACTTTGCTCACGCAAAGCGAAATTGGAATTTCAAGAGTTCAAACAGTCCTAAATCAGCTATGTAAGGAATGATTGAGAGGGTCACCCAGCAGTGGCGAGCCTTGGACATCTTCTGGCACTTGCGCAGATGCTCCTTCAAACATTCTGGTTAGTAGAGACTGCAGAGTCAGAGAAGCTCAATTGATGCTACATGACCTGATGACTCGCGAACGCGGCATGTTTTTTGTGAGTCTCAAGCGTGCCCTAGGTAAGGCAGCATTGAGAGGGAGTTGCCAAGGATGGGATCTGAACAAGTGCAGAAGCAGAATCTCACTATGATACCTCTATTGCTCTATTTCCATAACAAGGCCACCTCCTGTCACGCTTCACCAGTGACAAAGCTTCAAGAACAAACCAGAGAAAGAAAGGCATTAGGCATGCGTATTCTTCTAGATCTAGCCCGACATCATCTTCCATGATCCTTTGAACCATGCACCAAAAATCTACATTCAAAAGCCCCAAGCCATTTCCCTGAACCTGAAACGCCTGAAGTCATCAACATCCCTAACAGGCCTGCCCGCCTCCAGGCAGGTATATCATAAAGCAGTACATGAGCACAGTTCCGCATGTTTTGTTCCATTTGGTTATCCATGATTGGATCTAACTACCTTAAAAATCTCAAAAAAAGACTGTGAGGGGATATAGGTACTCATTGGGATAGTATTAGGGTCATGTTGGGGTTATATTGGGATAATGGATTTTTTCCCTACCTAGGTCCAACCAACCAGTGGCTCCTCCGCTGAGGCGCTCGGCTTCCACCACCCGAGGTGCTTACAACAACTCTTGAGCCGAGTCGGCTGCCGTAGCAGTTGCCCATTCAAAGTTTAGCTGTGCCTTGTTGTAGGGAAGATAGGGGCGTGCATACATCTATAAATATGTGTATATATGTATATGCACACATATTTGTACAATATTCGTAGAGCGTTTACAACCGCGCAGACACATACACAAATGTAATCTACGGTAATGGTAGTATCAATACGAAACTCATAGCTGTGACAATGGTACAAGTAGCAGTAGTACCGGCCGAAGGAGGCGTGACCATGATAATCCAGGATAGCTGGACTTGACTGTAGTTTCCTTAGACCTATGATTAAGATAAGATTGGCAATTTCCTTAGGGTTACTATAATAGAAATTAGAACTAATTTCTAAGGACAGTACAGTAGTAGGAATGATGCTTGCAAAAAAAGCTTGCAATGCTCATCTCAAGACTGACTGGTCTCAGTAGCCTCTGTCAGATCTTCCAGAAGATAGACCATGCCAAGGGGAAAGCCCGATGCGCCAGAAAATGGGGCAGGGACATGATGCCTACGTAAGGCCGCTTCTCTTGCTGCTTCTTAGTAGGGAAAAAGGGAATGGAATCCCCACATAACCCCTACATAACCCAAGGTTTACCCTATATACTACAGCAGTTCCCATGTTCTTTTCCATTATCCCTATATAACCCCTATAATAGGGAACAAGGGAATATAGTATATAGGGCCTATATACTACATTCCCCTATTCCCTAGTCACCCCCCAGTAAGTTCTGGGAGCTTTTGCCTTTTGCCAGGAGCCAGGATGCTGTCAAGAGCTGATGCCCGGCTATGATATGCGCCAAGGCGCAGCCTAAGCCTAAGCTTTGGTACTGAAGCAGGACCAGATTTTGGGCATGGTCTGGGTATATGAAAAACATCATTCAAGAGCTAACAGCGTACTATTTTAGCCCATGGTGTGTGTGACTGTCCGAGGTGTCCTTCCCCAATGTCCCTGCTCCGAGGTGACGGCAACTACACAACCTGACTGCGCGGTGAGAGTTGTGCCAACCCCTCTCACTTGACTCGGTCCAAGCACTCCCACATCATGATGCTGTTTCCTTGGTTGAAACAAGTGCTGTCGCGGCTAGTCTTCATCGGGTGGGCGCCCGTACTTTCCGCCCCAGATGCGCGCAACAGAGTGGGAGGTAGCACGCTGAACAAGCATAAGTGACGCTTAGGATACCGCTGGGTCAGGACTAGCAATTGAAGTGAGATTCCGCGGATCACCACCATGCCAATCTCGTTCTTCTCAGTTGGAGAAACAATTTCGACCGTGTTGTCCAGGACAATGTTCATGAACTGGTCATAGCCTGCCAAGCGGTCCCAGTGTCCATGTACGATCACTTGGACTCAAATTGCAGTGAGCCGGGAAGGCAACATGGGTTTCAAGTGAATCTAATACTTGCCCTTGCCTCGCAAAACTCCAACTACGTGTCTGTTGGCGGTCAGCTTGAGATCCTCAGCATCTCGGAGCGATTGAGCTGGTGACCCCTGCTGAAGCATGCTGCAGATGCCAATCCAGCTTTGCGGAAGAAGAGCGCTGTTTTGCATCATCTAGACTGCATACGAGGCGAGCAAGGCTCTTGGGGTCTGGACGCTTTAGACGAGATGGCCGCCAGCTTTGCCCACTCACAGACGGAGGTGGGTGCTGAAAGCCACTGCAAGTAGCTAAAGACCAGTAGATGTACAGTTCCTTTGGACGCACTGTTCTCACTCAGCCCATGCTGTGCCGTTTAAACGGCAGGTCGTCAGTTCGGCAGCCGCCTGAAGGCGTGCAGAACGCACGCTGCAAGATGCTTGTGTAAGCTTCTGGTGCAAAGATGTCGATCGCTGACAGATTCTAAAGTTTCTGGCCGTACGGCCTCTGGCATGGGCTGTGTCTGGGACGTGAAAAACTGACCTCTGAAACAAACAGGCTGAACAAGCCTGAATCATCACAATGGTGGGTCTATCTCTGAGCATTGCGCAGAGTCTGACAACGTCACTAGACCCCTTTCCAGATTCTAAGCTATCTGGAAGCATCGAGCTTGAATGAAACTAAGCAAATTGGCTCACAGGTCCTTGAGGTTGAAGTAGTTTGATGCTGCCTGTTCATGCTCCCCACACAGTTTCACTGTGAGCTAGAGGCGTGCCGCAAAACTGGCAGAAGCGGAAGTCGATCTGTGCTTTGCCACCACAACTTGGACAGTACCGCACTTGCTCCTGCGAATCTTTTTCTGCTCCTTTGGGGCTTGGCATGCCCACATAGAACCCCTGGTCCTGGTTCTGAGGTTCGGGAGCGTCTTTCTTGTGGAGGTTCCGGGCCGCCATATCAATCAAGCTGCCCTGGTTCCGGCGGCCACCACGCTTCCGCTCTGGCTTGGTTCTTGGCATAGATGACTCGCGAAGGAAGACAGGCCTGGTTTCTGCTGGCCCGCGGTTCACCCTGGCTGTGGAGTAGTGGGAGTAGTTGGCCTCGAAGCCCTGAAGCGCGGCTGGCACCACTGAGACAAGCTTCTCAGAATTGAACTTGCCCATCTTCTGCCCCTCATAGGTAGTTCTTGCCAGCCATGCGAAGTCGGGTGAAACAAAATTGATGAATGCATAGCCACGGTTTGCGTGAGTCTCTGGGTCGATGGGAAGATACATGAAGTCATAGCCACCAGCAAAGCCCGATTGATTGAGCTCCTCTAAGAGCATTTGCTGGCTGTACTTGTTCGGCAGGTTGCGCAACATGACGGTTGTGACACTTTGCCAATCAGCAGGGATTGGCCCGTTTGACGGAGGTTTCGGCGAGTTGCCAGCTCTTTGAGCTGCATCCGCCATCTTCGTGTCATTCATCGGCGCGCCCTTGCCGCCCATGCCCTTTCCTTCTTGCAACCTTAGCAGAAGACTCGCATACAAGCGGGAAGCAGCCGAGGGGGAGACTCCATGTGTGCAAACAAAAGCACTTTGAACAAACTGGTCATTGTGCTTGCATTGTTTGCAAGTGGGGAACCCAGGCCCCTGCGGACTGCGATATCCGCGGCCGTCGATGTTGTTGGGACTGTAGGCCTTCACCAAAGCAAGGCCCAATTGGCTTTTCCAGTGGTTCGTTGCAGCAACAGCTCCCGCATGTCTACGATAATTAGACAGGACAACAGAGAAGCTGTGTGCATGGAAAGGTATATTCAGTGGAGAAGGTTCAACAGCAAAGGTGTGCTGGATTGGCGGCTATGGCAGAGCTTAGGGCACCTCATCTAAGGTGCTGCCCAGTCTAGATAGCGTTGTTACCCGGCCTGAGGCATTTGCATCCCCATCTGTGGGAGGTGTCCGGAATCCTTTCCTTGCTGGCCTGGTTGCACCTCACGCACCAACAAAGCTTCGGAGCGGTGATTCTGAGCACACTTGGGGGTTTCCCAAAATTAGGGGTACCATATGGGGTCCCAATAATGAGGATTCTAGTACTTGGGGGTCTATATTGCGGTCCCCCTATTTTGGGAAACTACCAGTTAAAGCATACACTAGCAAGGAAAGGCGTGGATGCAAGTTTACAGCATGTGCCAAATCCTGCCAGGACACCAGAGTGTATTGGATAGGCAGACCGAGACCCCCCTCTGTCTCCATCACGCCCGCGGGCATCATCATGCTGCCCGCGTAGGGGGCGGACATTGCCTCCCAAGCCATTTCTTTATGACACTATGTGATCTTGATGAGCTAGGGGGATGTCGGAAAACTAAATTCTGGGTGAAGTAGCCTTGCCCCTTTGAACGCAGTTCCCCCATATTCTGAGATCTTGCTCCTATTAGATCAAGGTTGGGGGGTAGAGGGTTTGATTGTTACATCGCGCATTTCAGGTGGGCGAACATCTGTCTGAAATATCAGACCAGATGGTCCGAACAGTTCTCCATAGCGCGCAAGAAGCTATAGTTGGTAAACAAAAGCTCCCGCAAGCGCTGAGAAGCCTGCTTTCCTGATATTATACCAAACGTCCCAGAAAAATACCCCCAAGCTTCGAAAGGTCACATCTAAATCGTGAAGCCTATGCTGCTCTGACTGAAATCTGCCGGCGGGCCATCACTTCTGGCGGGAGCGACCCAGGAGGAAAGAAGAAAGGCATCCCGGAGAACATCTGGCCTGAAAAGCATACTTCTTTGGGTTTACTGGGTTCTCGTTGAAATACAATTTAAAATCGCTTTTTATTGATATGGGGCCCAGGTATCCATAAAAATGTGAAATTTTGTTCTACAAGAGCCCAGTTTAGGGTCTAGGGTTCTTGCATAACTTGTACATCATCGCTTCCCTCCAAAATATTAAACGGCTCCGCCCTTAATGTAGATACCCGGAACCGTATTTAACATCAGGGGGGGGTGTTCATCGTACGGCCCGAACATTGGAGGCGTAAATAGAAATCTGATATGGTATAAATTTCAATGAAATGTAGTCAACATCTATTTCAGATTCGGGCCTTCAAATTAGGGCCTTATTAGGGACTGTTTCAACTTTGGGCTTTATGAAGGACTATTTCAAATTAGGGCCTTGGAATCTGTTGCTGGGAATCTTCTATATAAATCCTTTATAAAAACCATTCAAAAGCAATCAACATCTAGGAAATCAAGGAGATCCCTATTGCTTAAGAGTTGTGCCAAAACCCTCCTAATTCAGAGGGTCCGAGGCGCAATTAACTTTAGTCTTGGCCCTTTTGAAAATAGTCTTGGGGACAAATCTCAGAATTTGGAACTTTGGCGAACACGTGTTTAATATTAGATGGGTTTAGGATTAGGGGGAGCGATTTCACACAACCCTAAACCCACAACTGATAAAAACTACTAAGCCATTAGTCTGTTGAATTTCATGCTATCGGTTTTCGTATTTAGCCCAGATCAAGGCGTCACGCATATGAACTGGCTTGTAGAAGTCTTGAGTGTCAAGGTACCCCTAACGATCACTCTCCCATTTACTCCGCCAAGGTTATAGTCTGTAAATATGTATATATACGTATGTGAGCTATAGTCCAAGCCCCAAGTATCTCCCTGAATAACCCCTATGATAATGTATGCAGTAGCTCGTATAACAAGGGCCTCTTAAAGGGATCTGTACTTCTCCAGGGCCCACAGTTACAACTGAGAATCTGCAGCCGGCACAGCACAACCCTGGAGCGGTAGAGTGGCATGCTGCGATGCAAGCTGAATGATCTGGGGTCTTCCCAATATTGGCGGCAGTCTTTTGGGGGGCCCCTGTAATAAGGACTATTGTTTAGGGTCTCTATTCGGGACCCTCTATTTTCGGAAACGTCTTGATCATAGCAGGCAAAACCCACAAAACAGGAAACAACGAATGGAATGAGAATAACTCTCCCCTCCTGGATCACCTAAGAATCACGAAGGAAGCTTCTGTATAGGGGTTTTAAGTCAAGGGTCCACCTTATATAGCTCCAAACAAAAAACATGATCCAAAACCATCTTTTGCTGACAAGCAGCCCATGGGGTTTGGCGCGTTTGGCGGGGTTTCGTCTGGCTCTCCTGGGGTTTCGCGGCCCTATGGATATTACATCTTATGGCTTTATAAGGAGTATGTCGGAATTACGGGCAACGAAAGCCAACAATACTTTCAGACCTTATAAGGACTATATGGGACTTAAGGGTAACACAAATAAAAGAATCAGACCTACTTAGAGGGTCAGGGACCTTAGTAAGTATATTTATAAACCCTCTAGGCCATATAGTAACCCCAATTATCCCCATTATTAACCTACTTACTAAGTCCCCCTGACCCTAAACCCTAAATACTATGGTAGTTTCCATTTTTTCCAGTATTAGTATATGAACCTACTTACGAAGTCCCCCTGACCCTCCGAGTACCCATGTCTCCTGTCAGCATTCGAGGCATTCGCTGTTCCGTTCCGGCAGCTCCCATGCCCTGGTGCTGGTTCAGGGTTTACTTCTTGGAGGGTAAGTAGGTTCATATAGTAATAGTGGAAAAGAAAATGGAAACTACCATATTATTTAGGGTTTAGGGTTTAGGGTTGAGGGTCAGGGGGACTTAGTAAGTAGCTTAATAATGGGGATAATTGGGGTTACTATATGGCTTATAAGGCTTATAAATATACTTACTAAGTCCCCTTGACCCTCCAAGTTGGTTCACAGCACTATTGTCTTTCCCAAAGTTATGGGTATCCTTATTGGGTTTTATAGGTGGTATATAGGGGTTACATAGGGATAATGAAAAAGAAAATGGAAACTACTATATAGGGTGTAGGGTTTAGGGATATGGGACTTCGTAAGTTTTTATAGCTGGGTTGCCTACAAGGCCATATATTACCCACCTACCTACCCTACATAGGGTAGCCCAGTGTGGTTATAACCCCGGCTATAAGTGGGGGTCCCACTACTCTTCCCTTATGCGACATGGAACTCGTGCAGGCCGCTGTTTTGTGTGGACAGCAGTTTGAATTGTTCAGCTTCCATGGTAAGTAGTTTGGGGGAGATCACAAACTGAGCAGCAGCTTCATACTTCGTTGCATACAAGTTACCTGTAAAAAGCACAACGGGCCTTAACAGAGGATTGACATAAGCAGTAGGGGACAGGGGAATGGATCAATGTAGTCCCTATATAATACCTGATGATGCCATATTGTGTGGTGGGTCATGTCACGTCATGTTAGAGAGAGTTTCTTTGGACCTGACAAAGAGGGTATGCAATAGTGAGTCTATACAGGTGACCCGCATCTTGGGAGCATCCAAAGGGGCGGCTTGAGCATCGTCTTTAGCGCGAAAACAAGGATTCTAAACGGGCGACTATTAAATCCATCCTGCGTAAAGGAATATGGAATCCCAGGCCCTGAAATACGTTGGAAGTATTTTGGGTTTCTAGCTAGACCTAGACGCTAGAACCTACGTGCTGAACACCTTCGCTGCTCGCTCAGGCTTCCACCTTGGAAAAAAAGAATCTGTCAGCCAGGCCTGTTCCGGCGCTGGAAAACTTGCCATCTGCGATTGCGCTAAAGCCTGCACCTGGGAGCAGTGATGCTTTGGAAGCGTCTTGTAGAAGCCTCAACAATTGCCAACTTTCGTCCCCAATAATGCTGCTTTCAGGGGTGTAGGTGCGATGTCTTGGGGGTTAAGGTTCTTGCCGTTTAGGGGTTCAGCGCTAGGGGGTTTGAGTTTAAGCGTGTAGCTGTTGGGGTCTATGTTTCAACCGCTGCTATAAGGAAGTACGAACCGTAGACTTGTCTTCAAGAAGAATTCAAAATGATTATGGGAAATTATGCAGGCTCCTACTGTTCATGGTGCTCCACACATATCCAACCTACTTGGAGCAGGCAGTCAAACATGCTCATAATTTTGAAGAATAAGCCACCTGCTGAGCATGTTGAGCATGTTGAGCTTGCCTGGGTTGTCTCGGACAAAGAGTTGCCGGTTTCTGTCATTAGGATTGGGCCTTAGCCTTAAACCGAACTCCCAAAATCTGTGTTTAAGAATGACCCAGCTGCTGCTGGATCTGCTGGGCCTGCAGAACTTGCTGCTGCGCCTGTTGCTGCGCCTGCTGGAGCTGCTGTGCTTGCTCTTGCAGAACAGTCAGCTGCCTTGTCAGCATTGCTGCCGGCTCCGAAATCTGTCTCCGAGAGATATGGCTGCCAAGGTCCATGTCATCAAAGGCGTCAAAGTCCAGGAACGTGTTTTTCACCTGCATATTTGCAGCCATAGCTGCAAGGGAATTGGAGTCCACCATTGCCGCCCACTCCCCTACAGCAGGCAAGTTTGGCTGGCTATGTGGCTATGCTGCCTGGATCATGAGATCTGAGCAGGGGCACGCGGTCAGGGCACAAACATGCCAGCAATGGATCATCTGTCTATTTGCTGCTTCAAGCTGTGCAAGATCAACTCAACTTACTCGTGGTTTGTAGGGAATGAGGGAAGATACTCCCTATAGAACCCCCCATATAATATTTCCTCATTCCTTACTCACCCCAGTAAGATCAATATGGAGTGCCATCAAATGGGCCCTGTCTGAGCTTTGGGCCAGGCGCTTCTCCATGAACTTTCGTAGGTCAGCACCAGAGCCGGTCTGGCAGAGATTTAGGGCTTAGGTTGGGTACTGCCCAGTAATTAACAGTCTATATTAGGGGTCCTATTAACGGCTTACTGAGGGGGGGCAGTACCTAAGGCTTAGGGTTTCGGCCTGATTGATGTTGACATCGCCCACTCCCCAATAGTGGATGTTCCCTAAAATATACTGCATTTTGGGAGTGAGTAGTCAATGCTGAGGGTCAGGGTGCAGGGTTGGAGAGGGGTGTACAGGCACGAAGTCTGACACCCGTGCGTGCCCGGGATCATGGATATTCGACACACAGGATACATGACTGCAGAGGAGGCAGTCTCACCATGCAAGACCAACAATGGTCCATACAGCTATTCGCCAAGCATCACCCTTGATGTTACGGAACAGCATTGGGCTGGGCTGCAAGTGAGTCCGCCTTCGACATCCTCCGGAGTCTGTTTGTCTTCGCTGCCTAGAAGGGATCATGGCACAAACAAGAGCGCGTGTGGTGGCGGTAGAAATACAAGAGATAACAACATCAGGGTTAGTAGCTGCATCATCACAGAGCTTAGTCAGAGAGTAGTAGATGAAGTATGACTCGCCGGAGAGTAGTATGCAGAATATCAAGGATAAATGCCTCGCCTTCGGTACATCTGGATAACTTGTTCAATTTTTTGTTCTGCCTCCGCTACGTGACAGCCTCTTGACGAGCATGAGCATTCACTTCTTTTGGGTGGCAGAGCCAAGAGGTGTACCTACATTTACTCAGACAAGGAATATCAAACCACACCTATCAAACCGCACCCGCTTCAGCTCGCATCAAATGCAGCGCGCCTTGTGCTCTTGCAGGAGTTGCCGGGCTTGAGGCTGAGATATTGCGAAATGCGGCAACATGGCATGTTGTCACACTCTTCCAAGCTTCATGTCTGCAAGCTCGGCAGGTTTAAATGGTACATAACAATGCGCTATCTCATAACAGGCTTCGGGTCACCATTTTCTCATTTTCACTTCGGGGCTCCGCTGAGCGCATGCCAGTCTGAATGGTTCCCTGGAAAAGCTTCGTGCCTCGGACTCCCTGTTGGCAACAGTGGTGCGTCGACGCTTCGTGCTTGCCATGCCTGCAGCCTGTCCCACATCAGCTAGTGGGTTCCTGTTAAGGAACTTAAAGTAAGGTACTATAATCAGGAAACCCTATGGCTTACTATATGTCCCTATCATGGTGACTGGTAACTTATTTTGAGTTTCTTAACAGTGCTGATAATGCGGAATCAACTCCCCATATTCCCATACTCCCTACGGAGAACCAGTAAGAACAAGATCTCCTCTGGGACTTGCTGCTAGCGAGTTATCGAAATCCTCCTTTCAAGCAGACAGGATGCCACTTGTCTGCTCTACGTCTGGCTGATGATGCTATGTGATAACATCACGGCATGGAAGCTACATTTTGAGTATATGAAGCTTTCCAAAAATTTGGGGCCTCGTTGTCAGGGTCCCTGCAATAAAGATTATGATGTAGTAGGGTCCATACTGGCGCACCTGGTTCATGGAAACCACCATAAAACAGTCATCTTCGTACCCCTTTGGTATCTCGGTGGCTGTGGCTTTCTGGAAAGCACAGAGACCTTGCCTGCGGAACGATGTCCCCGCTGTGTAGGGCCTTCGCGGCAACTCCCGGAACCCTAAACCCTAAACCCTAAGTGTCATGGCACTTTATGCTGAAGCAATGACGCTGGGCTATTCCTGTTCGTAGCATACAGGTGTTTATCTGTTCTGACTTCCCCCTACTCCCTATATATCCCTATATATTCCCAGCTAGCATTTCATGTTCCATTTGATTCTCCATGACTATTGGGTACTTGGCCCTGAGCCCTTTGTTACTGGCTCTTTTCCAAAGTTGTCTTTCAGCACTACTGAGTCTGCGAGGATGCAACTGCAGCGCAGAACTTCTGTAACTCTGCAGCGCACTGTTGCCACAGGATGCTTGCTATAAGGAGTGCAGCTGAGTGACAGCTTTGATGCAGTCCTGCAGGCCATTACCTAAGTAGTGTTTTTTTTGGTGGTTAAACCCAGTAAGATTACATTCCTTATATAGAATACTATACCCCAAAGGAGGATATAATCTTCTCTATATTGGGTATCATGAAATCCCCAAATAAAATGCTACTCACCTGAGTTGAGCACACCACCTGCTAAGGACTAACTCGGCACTCCGCAATGACCTACTCAGATCAAAGGAATGATTTGAATCAAAGCTTTTTGGCTGCTGGAGCGTAAGACTGGGAGGTCCCATCAGTTGCCATGGTGTGTGGAATGACATCGCAACAGACCCCTTCTCCCTTGCTTGCAAAAATTCCACGATCATCTATGATCACTAAATGCAGGAGGGGCATGGAACAGCGAGGGGGGGGAAGGCCAAACCGACCCATCCAGAAACTGCCAAACACCATGGCTCACATGGGGTAGTTTCCCTAAAGAGGGGGATGCCAACATATTTCCCAAACTATTATACTTCTTATTGTAGGGTCCCCTAAGTTTGGAACCCAGCAGTTAGGGACCAAGCACAGCAGTTGCAAACACAATGTAGAAGCACACGCGCAGAAGTCAAGAAGTTCACCCCCTCCAAGATCTCATCCAAAGTGCTGCTTCCCTATCTGAAGGCCAGCAGTCAAAGCTCTTGTAAAACAGACATCCGCGAACATCCTCGCAGACGCGTTTGAATAGAGTGATAGCGGCAAAACCACGGTGCTCCCAAAGCTGTTGGTTGGTGGAATCGCCAAGTCCGAAGTTTTACTATTTTGCGCCAAACTCTTGGGATGCATGGGCTTTCGAACAAAGGACCCAACAAGACTTTCCAAGGTAGGCAGCAAAGTAAACCCCGCACTCGCAGCAGGCTTGCAAAACTCTTATTGTTTGAAGAAACATTTTGCCCATGGACTCGTGATTTCAACTTCCACCAGATTGTCAATGGTTCTCCTGACTAACCCCCGCTCTACTGCGCTGCCTAACGTTGTCCCTTCATCGGCTTTGTCAATTTGTCCTACATGGTACAATTTTGGGGTGCGAGGGTGGTGTAATCCCCTCCGCTAATATCAAACCCACCCACCCCCCTAATATGAAGTATGCCCAATATATTCCAATATACTACCTAATGGGAATATGTAATATTAGGGGTTTAATATTAGGAGGCGGGGATTAGTGGCATTGTGGTTAGGGAACCCTTCGAACCGAGGCAACCGGCAAGCCGCAAACTTCTGGACGATGCTGGCATTTAACATCCCTGGGCCGACCTGAATGCGGTTTAGGGTTTAGGGTTTAGGGGTTTAGGGTTTAGGGAGCATGCTGCCATACTGTTATCACGGACGGCCTGGGTGCTCTGACTTTGGCAGGGGGTTTACTGAGAATCAGGATGCAGATTCATCGCCCGAATTTGCAAGGACTTTCTCCTCGTTGCTGCTTCCTACATTCTGAAGGAACTTTGACATCCATGGCTTGGCACTCGGAGTTGGCAGTGCCTCCACGATTAGGATGACCATGCGGATACTAGTAGCCAGCACTATAGGCCTAAACATCAAGAATAGATCATTTCCAGCCTTTACAATATCCACGGGTGTGGGCATCGCTGCTAGCTCTGTGAATTCATCGCATGACCATCGCTCCCTTTCTCTGAGACAGTGGCCAGATCTGCGCAGAAAACGATTCTTGCTTAGGAGCTCTCCAGCCGCGCAGCGTTTGAGGTATCAAACGCAGATACCGAAAGTCCCTCCTTAAGTAGATAGAATATGGCTTTGGTCATATTATAATAAGATCCCCATATACACCATATTCTATCTACTTAAATAACTTCCGGCGGGCTATATTCTGAAGAGGCTGACACTGGCTGAGTTGGGTAGGTGTCACGGTTTGGACCCTTACTTGCATGCCCCTGATCTTCTGCTGGCTTTGGTGGAGGAAACAGATTATGAAGGTATCCATGTGGTAGTTTCCCAAAATAGAGGGACCCCAATATAGATTCCCAAAATACTATAATCCTTATTATAGGGACCCCCGAAACAGTACCCCTAATTTGGGGAAACCCGAAACTCTATATACCCCTGTATAACCCTATATAACCCCAATA